ACGCACATGTGGGAATGTCACTAATAAAAATCCCTTTCTTCCTTTGTTCCAGAAGAGACACTGTGTGGGGAGTTACCCCCAGTGCTCCCTTTACTTGCTGCAAGTGGCAAACCTCCCTTCACTCTTTTATCTCCTGGCTCTGCTTGTTGGCTTTGCAAACACCAAAGGGTAAACGCACTGTTTGGTTCTATAATTTAGAGAAGACAGTGGCGAGGTAAGGATCAAATTTTTAGATTAAAAAAATTTTTAGATTCATACAGAAGGTCATAAGACAAAAAAATGGACAAACAATGGCAATAGCAAAGCAGGCCAGTAGTTCTCAAAGTGAAGGCATGGACCACTATCAGGGACTTTCCAGGAACTTCTAGCCAGTCTCCAGAGGTCCTTAGTGAGCTCTCTAAGGAGCTCCACCGAGTTCAAGAGTCACAATCATGGTTCAGACCATCCTACAGAAAATGCTCCTCCACCATTAGAATAGTAGTAATACAATGCAAAGGGTTCAGCAAGGAATTTTAGAAGAAGGAGAAACACATTTGTTCAATGGCAGAAACACACAGCCATCTTAAGGCTCAGCTTAAGGGACCACAGAGTCTGTAGCCAACCCATATTTGGGGTGTTTCCTTGGTCCTGGAGTGTCTGTGCTCACCGGCCCAGGGTTGGAGGTAAGGCTCAGAGAGAAAGGGGGAGCTCCCTGCTGCAGTGAGTCTCTTCAGCTGCAGAGGGCTTGGAGACTTGAGAAGAGGAAGATGCCGGCCTTTGCCCAAGTACCTTCCCATTAGACAGCGCACTTGCTCTGTTTGTAGATGTTCCTACGAGTCTGAAAGTTCTACCAGTCCTTGGGGAGGGAGCATGAGAAGCTCTCTGATAAAGCCAGACTTGAAAACTGGTTCCTTGGCAATATTTTTACATTAGGGACAGATAAATTAATGACTGAAGAGAGTCTCTTCAAGATGCTATAACAGTATTTAGTAACAAGATTTCTTTTCGTTAGGAACCTAAAAAAACAAAACCCCAAACACATGGATTTTTGAGAATTAGTAAAGAAGCATTGAAAACGTCAAATTAAAAATAGCTTTCATTAGACCCAAGGAGTAGCAAGGGGATCTGGCAATTATCAAACGACAAGAACCAGCATTCCAAAATCATTTAGGCCCTGACTTGGAATACAGACTCGGAAATGGGTCAGCTGCAGTCCAAGTATGCTCAGGAGCATTCAGAGGCAGAGAACTGGACTTTGGTCTCCCCTGAGCAGCTTGTGTGACCTCAGGCAAGTGACTTGACCCTCTAAGCCTCAGTTTCTCATCTTCAAAATGGAAATACTAATAACAATAGTAGCACCCTACCCTCATCCCCGTATGGTGAATATTAATCAAGCTGACTGCTAGCTCTTGGGTCACCTATCTGGCACACATTCATGCTAATGATTATTATTAGTATTTCTACTACTTTTGTTATAAAACAATATTTTGATAGTACCAAGATATATAGATAGTTTGGAAGAACACTTCTGAGGAGAAAGGGTGTTAAATGTGTGAATTTAAATTCTGCATGTCATGGCCCTGAATCAAGGCCAGTAGTTTTCTGAAGCTTTTGGTTTCAAGCAGGAGCCTGAAGTGGTATCTTTCTATGGTCTGTTGGCTGTTTCAGAACTTTAGAAATGTAACAGTCAATTCATTACAAAGAAACAGCTTGCCCCCTAGTGAGCCAGCCACTCCAGGCCCAGAGAAAGAAAGGCCACACCTCCTGAGAGCCTGCCACTGTGGGCCAGGGGAGAGGATGCTACACTCTCTGTGTTCCACCACCAAGGGGGCGGGGACACATCAATGAGCAGCCAGCCTGTACCTCTCCACCACCTCAGGAATTTTAGATAGGGTGACCCAGGTGCCTACCCCAACCCCTGCACTATGGGATGGGCAGCCAATGCAGGAAACACCAGGACTCAACAACTGGCTGATTCACAGATACACAGGGAAATGTAGACGAAGGAGCAAGGAGCAATCTCAGACCTCCAGCCCACCCAGAGCACGTCCTGGAGACACAGACACAAACGAAGTTAAAAGTCACACACCTGAAATTTTTGAAACGATAGCAACTGAAGTAAAAAGACAACTTAATTCTTAAAAAAAATTCCACATGTCCTTCAAGCCCCTCAACACATTCTCAAGGAAACGGGCTTTTCCCTTGGGAGGCTGCAGCTTGCATAGCTCCCTCCAGGTGTTTCTCACTCTTTCTAAGTTGACCATAACTCACATTAAGAAATGCACATTACAGTGCCAATCAGACAGTACGGCAAAGATTTTTATGAGCAATGCTTGTATTCTTAGGAGGCTCTCTGATGTTTTCTCATTTTGTTTCACTTTTTCCCCATTAAAATATGATAGCTGTGATAAGAAAGAGTGGTATTTTGTCATTTGCAGCAACACAGATAGAACTGGAGGGCATTATTTTAAGTGAAATAAGCCAGGCACAGAAAGGCAAGTACCACATGTTCTCACTCAGATGCGGAAGCAAAAAATTGATCTCAAAGAAGCAGAGCATAGAATAGGGATTACCAGAGCCTGTGAAGCGGGCAGGGGAGGGAGGGATGGAGAAAGGACAGTTAATGGGTACAGGGTAAAGTGTGATAGGAGGAATGACTCCTAATGTCCTGTAGCCCAGTTCAGCTACAGCTGACAACAAATAATTGAATAATTCAGAATAGCTAGTAAAGAGGATTTTTAATGTTTCCACCCAACACAAAGAAATGATAAATGTCTGGGGTCCAATGTCCAGTAAGTACCAATCACCCTAACCTGATGATTGTGCATTGTGTACATGTACTGAAATGCCACACTGTACCCCATAAATATGTAAAATCACTATGTGTCAGTTAATAAAACAAACGATGAGTATAAATGATAGTCGTGGGAATGTCCTAAAGTTGGAATCCTTATATTGCACATCACTGATGTCTTTGAAAAACAGCTTGACAGTTCCTCAAAATCTTAAACAGTTACCAAGTGACCTAGAAATTCCATATGTAGGAATAGATTCAAGAGAAATGAGAACACACAGCTATTCAGTTTCATAGCATGAGTTTCCTAGCAGCATTACCTATAGTAGCTAAAAGACGGCAACACCCATAATAGCCAGCACTGATGAATGAAGACAGTGTGACAGAGGGGAGCCTGCAATTTCCTTTAGGAGGGATGAAAATGTTGCAAAGCCTAAAATGTGGAGATGGAGAATGTGCAAGACTCGGAATACACAAAATGAAGCAAAACAAAACAAAGACAACAAAAAACAAAAACCCAGAGTTGAACACTTTAAAGAAGATGAAAGTGTGCTGTCTGAATTATATCTCTGCAACACTGTTTAAAATGACATTTGCAACCCTAAAAATTGTTTTCATTCTCCTATTTGGGTCACAACACAGTTGAAAACTGGCCTGGGTCAGACGGCCCACTTCTCTGTCCCGTCCATCCTCTCCACGAGAACCACTGCTTGCCCCGCGGACTTCAGGGAGCTGCAGTCCCTGGCAGGCAATGACAGGCGGAGGGCAGGGAGTGTGGAAGGGGACGGAAGCCATCTGAGCTACAGGTCACCAATTGCAGTTACATTTACAGCAGCTCCTCCTGGACAGGAGACTCTTCTTCCTAGCTTCCTAATGTTTGTGGCGGTCAATGAGAACAAAAAGCCCTGGTAAGATTTCTGGGGGGAGCTTTTCTCTCTATTAAAAAAAAGTGTTAAAAATGCATATGGTGTAAATATTTGTAACTGTTTTTACATGTGCAGATCAGTGGGATGCAATGACTCCAATGCTGAATAATCATCACCACCACCACCTGTCTCAGAACTCTCATCTTGCACAGCTAAACTCCATCCATGAAATAAATCCCTTTCCCTGCCCCAAACTCCTGCAACCATCACTGTACATTAGGATTTTGACCACTTCAAGTACCTACACTAAATGAAAGCATACGGCATTTGTCTCTTTGTGACCTAGTTATTTTATCTGGCAGAATATCCTCGAAGTTCGCCTTTATTGCAGCATGTGGGAACGTTCCCTTCCTTTTGAGGCTGAGTTATATTCCTCACATGTGTGCAGCATCTTTACCCCTTCTTTCATCAGGGGACGCCTGGGTGGCTTCTTACTTCTGGTTGTTGTGAATAACGCTGCTGTCAACATGGGTGTGCAAATATCCTGCAGGATCCTGCTTTCAATCCTTTGGAATATGTATTGAGGTGTGGCCTTGCTGGATCATACAGTAATTCTATCTAGGACTCTGAGAGCACAGGCAGAAGGCCATGTGTGATTTATTCCCCTTCCTTTTTTTTTTTTTTTTTTTTTTTGTACTAGGAATTGAACTCAGGACCTTGCGCTTACGAGGCAGGTGCTATGCCACTGAGCTACATCCCCAGGCACAATTCTATTTTAAATATCCTGGGGAACCACCATACTGTTGTTTCACCCAGTAGCTAGGCTGCTTCACATCTTTACCAACAATGAACAAGGGTCCAATTTCTCCTTTTCTTTCCCTATATTTACTAAATGCTGTTTTAGAAAAATAGTATCCATCCTAACGGTGTGTCTAAGAGACTCCTGGGTATAAAGAGGCTGCTCAGTAGTGGGTGCCTTCTTTTGCCCCTCCTCTTTTTCTCCCAATTTGACACTGATGGCTTCATCTCTAGAAGTCATCTTGTGACCCTGAGTGGATTCAACACCACAGCTGGGGCAGCAGAGGACAGAAAGAGACTGAGTCCCTGACACTTTCTTGAAGTGCTTTGCCGCCTGCTTCGGGACCTATGGGACTGAGTAAGTCCCTCACTTGCTTAAACCACTGGGCCTAGTCCTTGTGTAAGAAGCTAGGTGCCACTTCATGAACCAGTGCTCCCCCTGCTGCCTATGACCCTTCTGGAAATACCAGCTACTCTCTCACCCAGAGCTGTCCACTCCTCTGCCTTCCTAAAGAACTTCTCTCATGGAGTCCATCTCCAAAGGGGCCAGAGAAGCCACATACCTTGTGATTTTAAATATCCTCAGGAGCCGGACACATCTCAGCACAGAGATGCCTAAGGGAGACATGATCTTGGTCTCCACCAGGATGGTCTCCAGGATGCCCCCACACACGATGAAGCAGTCGAAGCGGTTGAAGAGGGACACGAAGTAGGCCTGCAGGCCCAGACTGTACATCTTCAGGAGCATCTCCGCAGTAAAAAGGGCCAGGAGAGCTTTATTGGCTGTGTCTGGCAGGTGTCAGGGAGCAGTAGGGTCCAACCAGGGGTGCAGAGGGGCACAGAGGAGGAGGAGAAGAAAACAGTAATTATCATGTCTGGGGTCCCACTCCTCCCTCCCATACACCCTTCCCTCCACTCTTTCCAGAATGAACTAGGGCCAAACCAACAAGAAAGGGACGGCCGATGACATTCCCAATAAACACCTGCCCCTGTCAAAGGCTTTGCTTGCATTATCCTTTCCACTCCTCACAGTAGTTCTGTGATGACTGGTACTGTTCTCGTTAAGCCCAGTTTTCAGAGACGAGGATGGAGGCTTACAGAGGGCAGGAATGGGCCCAAGCCAACCAGCCAAAAGCTGACCAGGCTGTCCCAGTCTGATCTTTTAACCACTGGACTAAGTGCTTCCCAGGGCTCTGGAATGCAGATCTAAAGGGCTATGTCTGATGGACTCCCTGGGAAGGGTACTGAGGCCTAGTAGTTGGTCTCTTTCAAGTGACCCAGGATAGGGAGCTGAGTCCGAACCAGCCTTTGAGGAAAGCTCTCTGTACTCGCACTATCTTCCTCTTGCCTGCCATTTTGCTCATCTTATCCTCAAATATCTTGGGTGAGGTCAAGTTGAGGTTGAGGAACTGAAGGTCCATTCTGGGAAGCTGGCAGCCAACGTCTGAGGTAGCCAAACAAGCTTCAGCTTGTGCCTTTGACACCAAGGCCCAACAGTGACCGTGGGGACAGGCAGATAGTATGGGCCCAGCTCTGTCTGCTTGTAACAAGGCCGTGTGGGATTGTAAGCTGCCAGCACCTTGGAGCTGCCAACATGCACCTGCCAAGAGCCACGGCACAGGCTGCCTTGCCATCAACCTTCTGGCCAGTGGTATTTCCTTCCAGGAGACCCAGGTGGGGGAGCAAGCGTAGACAGGCCAGAGCCAGGGCTACCGCTCACCTTGCACTTCTGTGAGCCAGTGGGGCTGGTTGTAATGTTCGGAGGCAATAGTGAGCGTGTTGAGGAACACCAGGAAGATCACCAGCCAGTAGAAGACATTGGACTTGACGGCAGCCCGGCACTTCCTTCTGCAGAACCGGTTCCATCTGCGCCAGTAGCGGCTGGGAAGGGACCGGGAGAGAAGGATGGGGCGGGCTGGGAGATGCAGATTTCTACCAGTGTAGGACACAGCCCACGACTTCTTCTCACCCCAAAGTGACCTGGTCTAACTAGAGCAGCTCAGCCTGGTGGTGAAGAGATCAGATTTCCATTGGGCTAACCAGGGTCTCTCACACCTGATTGTGCGGACTGTGTATGTCCCTGGACTTTTCTAAGACTTTTTCCCTCCTCTGTGAAATAGGAATGAGCCAACTGTATGGGGCTGTTGTGGGCAACGATACAATGCATCTGGTAGAAAGTTGAAGGTGCCTGATACATGGAACTATTTTATTTTCCAAAATGGTATTGTTAAAAATAATACTGTCTCAAAGGCAATTAGAAATGGTGGTGGTGGTGATGGTGATAAGACTTGTAAATCATTGGTAATGAAACAGATTCGGCCAGTGCCGTCTCAGTCGCTTCTCATGACTTGTCCAGAATTAATTTTTTAAATGACTCTGCCTTGCACGTGTGATTCTGATTTTGCAGAGGAGGAAAAATGAAGGGCTCTGGAGATGAGAAGCCTGACCAGAGTGGCAGAGCCACCACAGCTTCTCCACAGCTCATCTCTGGCCTCTTAGTCTCACCACGCTGCAAAAAGGGCTGACCTGGAGCAGAGGAACTTTGCTTCTATGGGGTCACAGTCTTTCCAGAATCTGGTAATGTTTAGATCCTTTTTTATTTTTTTAGAACACGTTCACATACTGACATGGAAATTCATGCACTACACAGCCCCTTGAAGTTCCTTCATGGTCCATGTCTTGTTCCCACAGTCTCTTTGGGATTTCTGTCAGTGGTTCACAAACATAGCTATATACAGAATTACCTGGGGAAGGTTTAAAAATCATCACCTGTATCCCCTGCCCTTTGCCAGCACCCAAACTCTAACACTGAAGCAATTAAATTCAATTCTCTGGAGGCTCTTTAAACACTCTACAAATACCACCACTCACATTTGTATAAGTTCCTTAGCTGATTCTAATGTGGAACTATGCTTGAGGAGCATTAAACTGGACATCCTAGAGAAATATTCTCATTTTATGATTCTATAATAGAAGGGTTCATTGTATTATGGTTGATACATTATGGCAACTTGACAAGTTCAGAAATTTAACTGAGAGACTCAGCAGGGAGCCAGAATCCTTACTTTGTAAATATCCTCATCCTGTGCAAGAGGAGGGCACAGAGAGTTTGTGAGCTCTGCCTTTGCCCTGGGGGATGAGGGTGACCTCTGTGCAATATGAGAGAGAAACAGAGGCTTGCTATTCTCCCTTTTTTTTTTTTTTTTTTGCTGTGGCTGCTTTTGCTGGCCACTGCCTTGAAGGGCTGCCTCTCAGCCGCGCCACCCTGCCGTAGGGCTAGCTGATTATGGACTGAAACCTCCACAAACAGTGAGCTAAATAAACCTTTCTTTCCTTAATTTTGGGTGTTGGGTATTTTGTCCCAGCAATGAGAGAAGTAACCAAGACACACAGCTTGTCCCTAATTTTATCCTCTTCATTCAGAGTAAACATGGCAACACCTTACACTGCACGAAGGAAGGAAGGAAGAGGATGAGGAGAGAGGCTGAGGAGAGCCATGCTGAGGACTTAGCAGGCCTGACAGGATCAGATTTGCTTTCAGGAAACCAACTTGCAACAGATCCAACACACTGTCAAGTTCTAGATCACAGATGGCATGAGGAAGCCTCTTCCAGTTGTCTGGGTTAGAGGTGATGAAGGAGGGAGTTTTATTAATAGAAAAGAAGATGCTGAGTTGACAGCAGTTTCGGAGGCAGAGTGCACCGGACTTTGAGGAGACTGGCATGCAAGATGGGAGAGGAAAGTACAGAAGTGGTGCCCACAAGTCTAGCTGGGGTTTCCGGAAATGGGGTGCCCTTCACCAGTGGTGCTGTGGACAGGGGGGGGTCACGGAAGGATGGGGCGCTCAGCAGGGGATGCAGGTGTGGGGTGTTCCCTGGCATGTGGACAGATCCACGTGCAGGTAAAGACAGCAACTGCTCAGGCAGGAGAGAAGGCAGGAGTACTGAGGAACAATCTTGGACAGTGTGTTTTTGTATAAACGGCCTCTATTCTCCCTCCATCCATCTTACTCTGGGCAGACAGTGAGCTAAATAAGCACTCTCAGAGGAGAGATTTTCAAACTTTCCACTGCAGCCCAATGGGGGGCATAAAAGCTGTGGAGGAGGTCATGACTGCCACTGAAAAGAGAGAGAGGATGGAAAACATCATAGTGTGCATCATATTTCAGGGAAAAAAATTAGGTACCGGGGAGTGAACCCAGGGCCTTCAAATGAGCTACACCCCTAGGCTTTTTTATTTATTTAGAGACAGGGTCTTACTCAATTGCTAGGTTTCCCAGCAATTAGTGGTCCTAATGTGTGATCATTTTGCCTTAGCCTTGAACTGGGCTGGGATTACATGTGTGGTGTCACCATGACCAGCTTCACAAGGAAATTTTTTAAAAATCAGAAGTAACTAAAAATATTCAAATAAAATTTCAAGGGTGTGTGTGTGTGCATGTGTGTGTGTGTGTTGCACTGAATCAAGCTGTGAATATTGGCTTTCTACTTTAGGGAACTCTAACTCAACTGAGGCCTTAGGTTATAACTCTGAGTATAGATGTGTGTCCCCGATCTTCTGATCATTTCTTCTGTGGGCTCATTCTGGTGGAGCACCACTCTCAACTCATGTGAAAAGCTGTTCTGTGGGTGACATGTTGATTAGCATGCCCCGGGTCACACAGCAGCATCTGCAAGTGGGTTTGGGGCCAGCTGTGTGTGTCACAAGAGCCACCCTCTGGCCTTGGTACTCTGCTTCCAGAAGGAAACTTCTCCAAATGCAACAAGCTCCAGGATGTGAGGGACAACTCACATTCTGAGGTTCCAGGGACGTAGACCTCTGCTCTGATAGTGCCCTTGAGAAAGGCTGGCATCATCCACTCTTCTAACTGGGTCATTTTTCTACTGACTGCCTGCAGACAATCCTGTTACTAAGCCTTTGATACAATTGATGATGAGATCAGAAGAGTGATGAGGAAGCTCAAGGGAGTTTTCTTTCCTCAGAGCTCCTTGGAAAATTTAGGGCCTCAGAGCAGGTAGGGAAGGAAGGAATAATCTAGATTGTCCACTGCACTGTCCTGCATCACTAGGTGCTAAGACGTAACCTCCAGTAAATGCCTGGCCTTTGCTAGGGACCATTTCCTGCCACTTGAGTAAATTCACTACACAGAGAAGAACCACCGCAGGGTCAGAAAATCAGTCTCCAAGTGCACTTCTGGATGCTTGTAACCCACCACGTATCTCTCTGGATATGAGGGAGGAAGGAGAGGGTCACCGAGAGGGACCAAGGAATGAGAGAATGAGTCTCAGGTGGCTTTAGTAAGGGGTGACTTGTGCAGTTTCCTGGATGTTGGTGTGGAGCACTTCTGTCTTGCTAGGGTACAACTCTGCTACTTCCTGTGGTTGTGATTATTAATATTGTAGAGAAACATGTTAAGAAAACTTTTTTCCCAAAAAATGAATTTTCAGGACAAATTCCTATCAAATCTTAAATAGCTTCCACTGTAGTTGCAAAGAGCATTTTAAATAGATACAATCTTACATTACAGTAATCACTCATAACTTATTCAGAAACTAAAGCAATCAAGGTTGCTTTCTTTTACAGTAAGCAGAAACTGACTTCAGGTCAGTTTAATAACAAGAACTCAACCTTTCCCCAGGTTTGGGGGTAGTGGATGCTGCGGGGTGCTCTGAGGTCAGGCCTGTCACATGGGCCCGGCGCTGCTCAGCTGCAGGCCTGTTCAATCATGCTGCTCCTGCATGGAACCGTAGGAGAACCACGTGGGTCCAGGCTGGGGTAGGGGTAGGGGTAATTACTATCCAAAGAAAGTATTTAAAGATAATTATACACCTCCCACTCTTCAAAATATAGCTTTGCTTGACAACTGGTTTCCTGGCAACACTTCCTACCATATAATAAATGTAATGGTTTATTAGAATGTGTAAATTTATTTGTGTGTTTACATGTGCATGGAGGATATAGACATTAAATGATAAAATAGGGAGGAGAAATTTGCCTTCCAGCCATGTTCCCTTTGCATTAACTGGAAGTTGCTTCCTGTAGACACAGAACCTTCTGTGTGCAGACACAGGACTGGAGGATGGATGTGAATGCGTTGGTCTCCTAAGACACCTGTCACTGATCTTCTCACTTCTCTGCTCACCTCACCTTCTCCCAGCACAGGCCTTGCTCCTGCCCTTCCAGCTACACAGATGCCTCCCCCAGGCTCAGCGCCTCCAACCACCCCCTAAGGCTTGGCTTGAGGCCAGCTTCTTTATGATGGCTTTCCCAGCTGGGACATCTCTGTAGCGCATCTATTTTGCTTTTTTTTTTTTATTATACAGTTAAGGAATGTCTATGAAATACATACCATGGACTAGGTATTAGGTATTCAATAGTGATACAGTAGACACAGTCCTTGTCTACATGAAACCCACACAGGGCACAGAGCAGAAGTGAGGAGTCACAACAGCATAGGCCACTTCTGTGCATCTCTGCAAGTGTGTCTCTGGGGCACGGCAAGCACATTTCAGCCAGTCCTGGGGGAGTCAGGGAGCTTCCCAGATGAGATGCAATTTCCCACTACTTTATTTTTACAGTTCCTGCCTCTCTGATGATATCAGAAAATGCGTGAGGGGAAAGGGCAGTGTCTTACATTTTGTTACAGATTTGTACCACTTAGTACAGTCCCCTTACACAACAGGACCTGCCTGACAGCTCACATGAGCTGCAGAGACAAACTATACACATCTACCAACTTCTTAGAAAGACAAGACTTAAAATCCTCAGAACTCTTGTAATCCCTGGCAGCCCACCCTGGCAGGGTGGAGCAGGGGTTTGCCTGGCAGGGAATTACTGACAGGTCTGATATAGAAATTATGCACATGCTAGGCTCTCTAGTGGCTGGACTAATTTTCTATTTTTTCTTTAACAGAATGAAGAACAAATAACAGAAAAAAATCACTAAATTTAACTGTTTTGTCAATAAGTACCTGGAAATGGACGATTAGAGACTGGGGCAAATTTGAGTTTGTGCCTTGCTGCTGGGGGCATGGCAGAACTACAGGGAATGTCAGAGGCACATTTTGTTGAGGCTGGGCTGCACGGCCCTCCAATTTTCAAACACCACGAATTTCATTTCAGAACTCTGCACAGCTGAGGTCCAGAAACTCCAACAGTCTACCAATTAGTCTCATCGGGCTGCAAAAGACTGAGCGATTTGTTCCACATTTGTATCCCATTCTGAGCAGTGAGCCTTGAAGAGTGTGAATTTCCTGTTTTACTTCATTCATTTAAGTGGAAACCTGGATTACCAAGGAAATACCCTATTATGGCCTTAATATTACAAGTCTATTAGCCTGCCAACATTTCCCTAAAATCACTGTTCTAGTAATCCTTTTAAATACCCACTGAGGTGTATCACTTATCAGTCTTGCCCATGGAACAGGGCAGTCTGAAGCCCAGATTTCAGTATTTGTCACCGTCAAATCATTTCATGTGGGAACACAATTTGATACACTTGGATAATTTTTGGTGACCGCTTCAATCAGTTGCTAGCTTTGATATCCCATACCCAGACATCATTAGTGGACCATGGAATCTAGGTTAGCTGGATGCTATCTGATACCTGCTCAGAACTTCTAGTGTCCCACTGTCTGGGCTAGAGCCAGTAGCAACATGTGGTTGCTGTGTACTTGAAATGGGACAAGTATAACGTGTACCCTGGATTTCAAAGGCTTAGTGAGGGGGATGTAAAATTATATGTATTACATGTTAAAAGAATGATTTAGATATACTGGTTTACATAAAAAGTATTAAAAGAGGTTCTGTTTCTTTGTACTGTTTGACATGGGTACCTCAAAAATTTTAAAGGCACATATGCAGCTGGTTTTGCACTTTTTTTTTTGGTACCAGGTATTGAACTCACCACCTTGTACTTGCCAGGCAAGTGCTTGGGCCACTGAGCTAAGCCCCTGGCCCTGCTTTTGCACTTCTGTTCAACATTATTTCTCTAGTGCAATCCATTCTGTGTTCACAATATGGTGAGTGACACAGGGTTTAGGATGTCTGGGCAGAACCTGATCACACGATGGCAGAGAGATCAGCAGCAGACACCCCTCTTTAAATTCTGATGTGGTCATAGGTGAGTCATGTGCTCCTCACAGGAGGATGGGCTTAAGGTAGATACCAATCTACCAGTAGTTAATTTCTGCTCTCTGCCTCTGTTACGGCTGATACATTGTGTCAACTTAAGAAGTTTAGAAGTTTAACTAAGAGACTCAGTAGGGAGTCAGGATCCTTACTTGGTAAATATTCATCATCCTGTGCAAGTGGAGGGGCACAGAGATTTTGTGAGTGCTACATCTGCCCTGGGGGTGGCCTGTATACAATATAAAGAAGGAAAAGAGGCTTGCTCTCCCCACCCTCCCCTTTTGCTGTGGCTGCTTTTGCTGGCTGCTGCCTTGAAGTTTTGCCCCTGTGCCATGCTACCCTGCCTTGGAGCCAACTGATTATGGACTTAAACCTCCACAAACTGTGAGTGGAATAAAACTTTCCTTCCTTAATTTTGGTATTGTTGGGCATTTTATCCCAGCAATGAGAGAAAAGTAACCAAGACAGCCTCTCTCTCACATGATGAGTTGTGGTTGCATAGTGAGAAACCCTTCCCAGAGAAAAGGAATCAGGGCAGTGGCTAGCTGCTGTCTTTCTTTTTCAAAAGCACAAGTTATTTCACAGATCACTGGATTAAAAACAAAAGTGTGCCCAGAATGTCTTGAGTATTCTCTAACTCAAGAGCTTGCACCAAAGAATATGAATTTCTCTTCCCTCCTCCAAATCACATTCATTCATTCATTCATTTATTCATGAGTCACTTGCTTACACATAATGAAAAAGAAATTTTTGAAATATTTTCAACTATAGTTTGATATTCTTTTATTATGTAGACACTTTGGAACTGCTGAAAGCCTAATGTATGTTCCCAGATTTGGCTGTAAAACTAGATATCTTATCTGAATATATGTATGTGTGTGAGAGAGAGAGAAAGAGAGAGAGAGAAAGAGAGAGAGAGAGAAAGAGAGATCCATGTACTATTTTTATGTTTTTACAGTTCTCTATCATGTAAAGACCCAAGTCTCAAAGGTCTGACTTTAGATATTTATATAAAGGAGATCTTGGTTTGAGAGAAAAGAAAGAGAAAGAGAAAGAGAGAAAGGAGAGGAGGCCTGAATTTTCCAGTCCAAGTGTAAGATGAAATAAAGAAGGTGTCAGGATTAGTGCAGAGCGTGAAACACTCAGACACCAGAGCTCTCATTTAACTCTAAGTCCCAGAGCACCAAGCTCCAGGAGATTAGAGGGACGTATTTTAGGAACACCTAAAGGCCCAGGGACATGGGGCAAGTGGGTGGGCTCTGCAGACCCTGAGAAAATTCCAACCTTAGGCTGAAAGCCTTATTTGGCTGGTGCAGACAGGGTGCTAGGCACAGGGAGGTGGAGGAGCTGCTGTGCTCTCTTGGTTCCCCTTAGCTTGTTTCTGGAAAGCAGGAGACCTGGACATGTCCACACACCCAGATAAATTATGCAGGTACTTAAAGTCAGTGGACAACAGAGGTTGGGGTCAGAGAATAGAGGTGGAAATTTCAAGACTGGAGGAAATGGGAATAGAGTGTGGTCTCCTGGGGTGAATCCCACGTCAGATGGACTTGCTCTGTAGGTACCAGTTCCAAGCACCCAGACTAGCTCTGTAAGCGGAGTAGGCAGAGCCAAGTGGACACAAGAGGATTCCATGACCAGTCCTCACCAGCCATTTCTGGGATCTTGTTCCCCTTCACACCCACACATCCAGATCCACTCCAGAGAAGAGTTAGGGGAAAGGAAATCTGAATAACTATACACATGGCCTCAAGGAACTATTTATAATAAATCACTGGGCTACAGCATCTACACAATTTAGTATCACTTATACTCCTGTGACAGTGTTGGTGAGGCTACAGAAATAAGATCAGGTTATGAAAAATAAACAACTAATATTTTTGGCACATGTAAGATTTGTGGGAGTCAATTTGTATTCCTGTTCCCCCTAGCCATCTATGCATCCATTTAACACACATGCAGGGACAGCCAACAGCTGGACAGGCACTGACATAGATCAGAAGTAACAGCTCTGAGGCATGCAGACAGATCCTTGCAGAGGGAAGGGTCTCTGGCCCAATAGAGGGTAACACTGCTAGTTTTGTGATGGAGCATTGGCACAGCTCCATGGAGTGGATGAAGGTGAGTCAGTGTCCCTGGGGAGAAGAGAGGGCACCAGAGGAACAGTAACATTGGAGGTTCTTGGCAAAAGTCTGATGAAGACATGGATGGAAATTTATGTGGGGGAAAAGATTCATGCAAAGGTTGCAATGTGTAAGAGGAACTTCTGGGTAACCGTGAAAAGTTGCATATATTGGGAACAAAGGTTCTTTGCAGGGGTTCAGGTGACAAAGCCAGAAGGGAGCTCATGGTGGAAGACCATGGTCCTCTTGGAGGCTGTGATGCTATCTCAGAACATCAACAAAGAGTAAGAACCCTACATGTCTTCTGTTATCCTCAGAGTTCTTATCTCACTATGTTCTACAGACATGAAGTGGATCAAGGTAGGAGCAAGTGCCCACATGTTTATTTTAACTGGACTTCATCTTGTAAGAGAGAGACACACATTTGGTCCCAACCTCCCAGCACTGTCAAAACACAGTCAGATCAAAGGAATTTTAAAAACTCAGTATTTGCCTCATCTGATGCAGATGCATCTTATTAACAGTGATACAAAAGAAAGCACTTATTCCCTTAGAAAAACACCCTTTATTCTATCCCCCCTGGTGGGGGTCATGCTGGGTCATCCAAAATGGTAGCTGAGGACTGAGCTGGTGGGCAGAAGGAAAGAAAAGCAGTCGTTTCTCACTTACCTGAACTTTGATTTGGAGATTCGGTGGCTGAAAAATAAAAAGGAAACATTACCAGTGGATACATACTTTTTTCCATGAAAAGGACATTCAAGAATCCCAGAGGAGTTTGATGTTCCCCATGTCCCCTCCAGTAATGGATATGCTTTGGAAGGATCTGAAAGGTGAATTAGAAAGTTGGAGAGAAAGAACACTGCTGTATTGAATGTAGAGACTGAAGCCTGGCCCAGCAGGCATCTAGGAATCTAGTCTCTTCCAAGTATAGATGATCCCTGCTGGAAATGGAGAGCACCGCATTCTCAGGTGATCAGGGTCAGCCCAGCAAGCTCTGTGAGGAAGTAATGTAGGAAGAGGGACATCTTGAGACAAGCCATAGAGGTGACAGCGCTTCGAAGGTCATTGGGGGAGGGCGCTCTACTGGAAAGTGGAAACTTCAGGAAGACCCTGAGACTACCTAGGTTCTGTGGAGTCTAGGGGAAACTGGGAGGAGGCAGGGAAGAGAGACCAGGTGAGAACACAGAACAGTAGAGGGAGGGCAGGGAAGAATAAGCACTTGAGACAAGAATCTGAAGGCATGTGTCAGACTGGAAGAGTGCCCCAAGTTGAGATAGCAGGTCTTAGAGCGACAGGGCTCAAAGGGATGAGCAGAAAGACAGAATGTAAGTGACAGATGAAGAGACAGCAGGAAGAGGCCAGAAGAGATGGGCAGAATGCAGGGGAGGAGAGTTTGGGAGGTGAGTGCTGTAAGCCTGTGTCACCCCAGCCCAGCCCAAAAATGAGTGGCCTTGCATAGCAAGAAAATGCCAACCCCTCTCGTTATTTTTATTAAAAAAAAATTAAACCAGAAGATGTGACAGGTGGCTAAGCCATTGTGCATGAGATAATTATCTCTGGGGCACTGAGAATGAGATCCAAGTGCCTTTACTGCTATGAACCACTAGCTAATAAACTTTTCCCGCCCTGACGGCTGCTGGCTACAGTGGAAGGGTTTAATCACATGTTAACGAGTGAGGGAGGGGCCGGGAGCCAAGGGCAGCACTTTTGTTTAGAGCCACAGTTTAATGGGGGAAACAAATGTTCTCCAGCTGCTAATTGCATGATGGGAACCCAGGGTGCTCTCTTCTCCAGCGTAGCTATGCAGAGCTGGGGACCTTCAGCATCTTCCGCAGGTTTGTTTCTGGGCAGCAGCCTCGCCTTGCAGTTAAGCCAAAGTAGGTGGCTGTGGCCTCCAGCCGTAAGACTTGGTCTCCAAGCCTGGCCCCAGGCTTTCTTTGAGGAAAGTCTCGCTGTCTTCTCTGGCACGTGCTCACGGCAGGCTAAGTGCCCCTGTAAGTCTGCTTCACACTCAGTCCAAGTAACCACAAGGCAAAGTGGGTTAGTAGAAACTCTCAGGTCAGCGGAGTGCTCCTGTCTCCCAGAGAAGCAACTCTAGGACATGGGCTGGGGATGATCAGGGCTGGGCTGACTGAAGTAAGGTGCCAAGTCACACGCAGCGACTGACAATGGGTTCCTTACTGGCATCCTTGTCTGTCCTAAGCAGCAGGAAGTAGATAAAAACTTTTTTCTGAGCTCTGATGCACAGGCCGGGACTGTATTTGAAGACTTCTTTTCTAGTTCTTCACAGGGAATTGTGAGCATAATTTTTGGTTCTATGGGTTCTAAACATTCATCTCTGTTTTAGACAGGCATATTTTATAAGCAATCAGCAGAAACACCGGTGCCCATTTTGCCTCTTGCGGAGGCGAAGGGAATGCTAGGCTGTGGGAGCTGGGCTTAGAACTCTGAAATCCTGGTGCCTCGATGCCCTGTACTCCCTGGAAACAGGTGCAGCTAACCGAGGACACTGTCTCACGCGAACAGAGGAACCCTGCCGACGGCCAAGGTCACAGTGCTGGACAGCTGCTTCCACCACAAGGATCCAGGAGCCAGGGACACCTTGCAAACCGGGCTGTTCAGCCTGTCGAGAATGCTGCCTCGTACTGAGTTTTAAAACCTCCAGACCACCAGGAGTCCTCAGAGAAGCAGAGGCCTTCAGGGGCTCCAACCCCCAATGGGACATGTGCAATTTGCTCCAAAAACTTCTCAGTTTCCGCCTCATTATTCTTGGGAGGTGCATTTCTCAGCTCAGCTTGTAAATGGACTCATGAAGAAGAGCAAGGACGGGGAGAAAGTCAGTAACTAACAGGAGACCCTCACAGTCCTCCATGGAGATAGAAGTGCAGTCCACTTGCCCCCAAGACACCTGCTCTGCCTGAGCCAGGACAAATCTGCAAAACCAAGATTCTCTTCTTGTTTTGAGGTTTGAAATTAGAGACAAACCTAATGCTCTTTTTATTTTTGCTTACCCAATTTGCATTGTGTCAGTATTTGACAAATATTTGAACTTCTTAGGAGCTACTTATATTTTCAGCTTCTCTCCTTCAAAAAATGAGCACCACATGTTTACAACCTGCTGTGTGAAATAGTATGTCCTTAGATTGTCCCCAGTCTGCCTTTAACATAAGTCAGTGGCATGCATGCAGTCATCACCTCCGTGGCAGCCCTTGACTCAGCCACCCCCAGCTTCATCAATGCCACAGCTATTACTGGAAGGGCACAGAGCACTGCTTCAGCTGCTGCGCGCTTAGCTGGGCTGATCTACGTCTCTCCCGAGCTTCCTGCCTGTTGTCTGCTGCTTCACAGAACGCACCCTTGTTCCCACCGTGTCCTCTCAGGCTCTCAGTCTTTTTCAAGGCTCCCAAGCTAATACTTCTTGACTTCTAGTGCCCAGGCTGACGCAGGTCTCATCCATGTGGCCCTCACTATACGATGGACTCCTGTATAGCTCTGGGTGGGCCTGGGTGGCCAAAACCACGTGTGGTTTAGCCAGTTGTCTGTTCTCAGTGCTTGGGGCCCCAGTGTCTGCCCAACAGACTCATGGGATTGCTCTGGGAGGCGAACTCCACACTCACAATGTCACTCTGCACCGCAGCTTCAGTATTTCCCAGTGATTTCTTAATGACTCCTTGGCGACGCACAGGTTTGAACCTTCCGCTTCTGTGACACCTGGTGTATTTGGTGCTGTCTTCATTAGTGCTTGCTTCTGACTCCACACTCTACAGATCTGTAGCTCTGAAGACTAGAAGGGACTCTTGGGGCCACGGGGGCCTCCAGTGTGTAATTCTCAGCCCTAGAGTGCTTCATTCATGTGACAGCTTACATGATGCAATTATGGAGGCCCAATATGTTGGAGACGGAAGTGGGCTCCTTCTGGAGCAGTCCCTTGGGTGTTCCGCTCCTGGGCTCCCACTGAAGCCAAAGGTGGGCAAGACTTTCTGCTTCCAGAGGGAGGCGCTAAGCGCAGAGGTGCTTTGTTTAAGTCACAGGGTTGGTGGCTGATGGGGACTGGACCCCAGGACACTAGTGCCAAGTCTCTTCCATCTCTCAGTGATAGTGGCATCTCTTCCTTCCTGTGCATGCTCAGTCTCCCCCTGTCTCTGATGTCAGCCAGCACTCATTTCATCTCCGGCTTCTTCTTTCTTTCTGGCTTCTTCCTGGCCTTGAAGATTGCCTCATTGGTAAACAAGCTAGCCTTTCACTGGCCCTTGCTGTCCTGTCTTCCCGGGCCTCACTTCTTCAGTGAGGGCCCTGTGCTGGGACCCTGCCCCCAGGCAGTGCACCCTCACATCCTATACGGCAGAGCTCCAGACGCACAGGCAATCAACCTGCTCTTTCCCTCTCCTCATCCCAATCCTAGCCTGAGGACCGTCGCCCTGCACTGGGCAGCCAGGATGCCCCCTCCCTCACGTGCCTCATTCTTGCCTGCCATCTTCCCAGCATCAAAGTCAGGTTCTAAGAGCACAGAAGTAGCTTCGTGTGGCAGTGCACACTTGTAGTCCCAGCTATTCAGGAGGCTGAGGTTGGAGGATTGTGAATTCCAGGCAAGCCTGGGCAACTTAGCAAGACTCTCGCTCAAAAAACAGAAAGGGCTGCGGATATAGCTCAGTGTGAAGGCCTTGGGTGTCCAGGACCATGGGGGTAGGGGGAACCCATGAAGAATACAAAACTAACAAATCAACCTCCCCACCCAGCTTCAGAGTCTTAAAACTCTTCAATGACTTTCATACTCATATGACAAAGATGCAACTCATCAAGAGGCCTGCTGGGCTCTGTCCTGTCCCCTGCATCACACCCCATCCTGCTCCTCACACATACCCTGGCCATCTCCAAGGGTCTGGGAGCATGCTGGTGCCTCCTACTGGAACATTCTTCCTTACTCTTCACCTCAGTAACATATGCTCACCCTCCCCCTAACTTGCCAGTCGAAATCGGGGCCAGCTGTGACTAACCCACATGCATTTATATCTGCCTCTAAACGTCTCTCAATTAACAGTCTCCCATTTGTTTAGTGTTTCTTTGATACTGCGTGGCCAGCTCTCACAGGGTGAGTTACTTTGTCCTGTGGCTCTGGGTTACTGTCACCCTGAAGCAGGCTAGGCATGGCTATCACAGGAAGCTTCCTTCCGGCTCCCAGGTCATAGGGCCCAACCTGACACGGCACCATCTATTCCACTGATTTCCTCCTCTTCTGTGTGTGTTTCCCAAGCTTTGGCCATAGTTTCCTCTATGCACATGCCTTGCTGTACAATCTCATTGACAGTTTCCCCGAAGACAGCACCATGGGTGTCTCCCTGCCCCTGCGACCCCCAGATGCTAGGGGTCTGGATGCATCCCGCAGGGGGCTCTGTTTAGACCTCAGCCTTCTGATCACTTTCTGTTTTCAAACTTTGATGGCTCTTTCCTCTTCACCATGTCCTGGGCCTGCTTCCCCCTCCCCAACAAAGTGTCGCACTGCCATTCTTGTCTCTGTCCCTGGGTTGCCCAGGAGCTACCACTAAGCTGCCCTTCTTCCTACCTCCCTTAAGTCCTTGTCCTTCACTGCATTACATAAAAACTTACTTTGCAGCATCAGAAAATGCTGATCTATTTCTCTCTGTCTCAACCTCCCACTGTTCCTCCCACAAGGGACACTGGCAGAGTCTTCTCCCACCATTGTCTGGGGTCGGGGGAGGAGCCAAGGAGATAGGGAAGGACCATACTTTATAAAGTATACTTTATTCTAGTGCTGTGATTGAGTCTTTCATATGAGCAGAGTAGATTTGCCAGCACGGATATGCAGAGGAATGACTTCAACCATTTTAGCAGTGCTCTGAGAGCCTGCACACACATCCTCAAGGAAGTGACAGAACAGAGGTTGCCAGCTCCCCTCCTCGGGGGATAATGATGCTTTCTTTCCAACAGAGATTCACACGCTCTTGAAATGTACTGTCAAACGACTTCTCCATGCCAGCTCCCTGTTCCTCCAGGTCTGCAGCTTGGGTCGTACCCAAAAACCAGGTTTTCAGGGTCTTCTTGCCAACTGTGCTCATGTTGCCCAGAGAGCAGAAAGGCCTAGAACTGGTGAACTTGAAGCCTTCCTTTGTGCCCTTCCCCGGTGTTGCTCTCTGGGGTGTACTTCCAGAAACTCAAATGCTTGTTTTGTATGATTTCACAAGAAGAGAGGAGGGAAAAGGCTTGGACTGCTGCTTAAAAATGTAATTAGCATCATATTTTAACAACATTGCGACAATAATTGCTTCCCGACACTACTGAGAAATCTGCAGTACAGACTCCCTGGTGTCTGCGTCAGAGTGAGTGATACCCAAGTCCTGAGTGCCCTAAAAATGGGCCATGAGCTGGGCTGCTCTCCAGCCTGCTTCCTCTTCCCCTCTTTTGGCTCATAGGCCAAGGCTGCATTGCTATGCTTAGGGTTACCTGCAGCTCTCTCACAAAACCCTGAGGCCGGGCTTTTTGGAGGAGGGACCTCTGTAGCCTAGGTTAAGCAGAAATGAAATCTGACTTATTCAAGGAAGCTTCTCAGGCATGTTTCCCTCCATGAGCAGCACAGTGAGAGCTGCACAGAAAGACCCACAAGTTCACCACCCAGCAGCACAGTTCTTACCTGATGCGTAACGCAGGACACATTTACCACAATGGAAAGAAGGGCCCAAGGGCCCACTGGACCCAGTGAAGCTAACCTAGCATTTCTTGAGAAAGAGAGTGGAAGGGTACAGGAAGGAACAGACTTCAGATGCCCTCCCAACATACTCTGCATTTCTCTGCTGTAATAAAAAGAACCTGAGGTTCTACTCCCTGCAAAGTACTTGAACTAAACCCTCGCTTTGATTTTAAAACTCACCCCATGTCCACAACCACACTCCTCCCATGCCCTTCTTCCCTGTTGTACAGGTGACACTTGACCTGTCTCCCTGTTGCTCTTAGCTCTAATCTCTGTATCTCCAGTGATGAACCAACTCACTCTAACTCAGCAGACTGCTCCCTGCCCACACCCCAGGAAAAGCCCAGTGCCTGAATCCAGCTTCCTTGCTATACCCTGGGAATAGCCTGGTGCTGGGATTTGTCATGCCTACTCACGCCAGCCTCGCCCCACAGTTCTCTCCCTCGATGTCACCTCCAGCCACGTTTTCAGTGTTGACGGACTCGGTCTCGCTGGTGGGCATGCTCACTGCAAGAAGCACAGGGGTGAGGGCAAGGTGTTGAGGGGTCAGAGAAGGGGAGCAGGAGAGCATTAGTGTGCAACACACATGGTCCTGGAGCTGAGATCTGGTTGGGAGGAAAAAGGCTGAGACACTGCTGGCACCCCTGCGGGGCCAGGCCCTCGCACTGTCCTGGCCAAGCTTGACGGTTTCCTACCTGCTGCTTGTCTAGGGGAAGCTTAACCACCCAGGGCAGTATTAACTAGTAGAAATGTGGGAGAGAATCTGGTGATAAGATCATTTGACCTTTAAGGACACCTCTGCAAAAGCTGACCACTGAATTCCTTTCTCTACTGTCAACCCTGCAGCCTCAGAAGAGCTATGGGAGCTCTCCATTGCATCCAATGTTCACCATAGAAAGAGAAGCTTTCATGCAAAGACTTTATCTCCCTCATTTCTTCCCACATGCCAAATCTAACAGGCTCCTTCCCAGGATTAGGGTTCAGGGATTAGTTTGTTTGCAGAAAGGGCTGCCTGCGTGCACTACCAGGTGGATTTGAAGATTTCCACTTTTGCTGCAGTGCATCCTGAGTTCTAAGTCAGTAATGCGTGGGACTGTCTCTGAAATGGGAAGCTTGAATAGAATAGACATTACCAGAACCACATGTCGAGACCCACTCTAACAGTGGAGACATAAGGACTGGAGATACCTCAGTGTAGGAAGCACAAAATACAATTTAAAATGTGCCCTGAGAAGAACCTGCCAGGATTCCTCCTCCTCTAGCGATCTTGACATTCAGGTTACAGGGGACATCTAAATCCATTAGGCAACTTGTCCAGTCAACATTCCGCCTCTCGAGGTGGCTAGGAGCTAGATTTCTACAACTGAGTGAGTCTTCTAACTAGAACCCAGCATGGTGGTTAAGAAGAAGCTACTTGTTGTTATTTATTCTTCTCAAAGAATCCTTTGTCACCTTTTGTCATCCTTTTAATGCATCCTTGGTTTTCCAGTGCTTGATCTTTACAGTGGCCTAGTTCAGCTCTTCTTCCGGAGTTGAATACCTCATCTAGTGGGAAAATCACCAGCCCTCGGGAGCCACACAGTCTGCAATGAGTGAAGGTGTGGCATTTGGTGCAAGTCTCCGTGGTGCTGCCACAGCTCAAGAGAAGACTCTTACTGGTTTTGTGATGCTGATGGACATGGGCTTTTGGATGAAGACAAGCCAGTTGGTGAGAAGACACTTGTTTCAAGAATATGGAATGCACAAATAAGAAGCCTAGGATTTACCACATATTTATCACCTGGCAGTGAACACTTTAGCTGAGACTGCTTTTTAATGAAGCTGAGTAAAAATGAATCCCATCTCACAGATGCTTAGGATGGATGGGGCTTTATAAATTATTCCCTCACTTTACAGGAGAGGAAAGTGATGCTGAGAACAGGGCTGGGATGATCAAGGTCATGTGGTATAAGTGGACAGGACTGGGGCCAGGGCACAGGAGTTGTGCCCCTTGCTCCATGCTCATTTATCCTAGGATAAGACAGCATCCCTAAAACCAAATCTGACTCAGGAAGCATGGCTGGAGGGTAGCAAACAGCCCAGCAGTGGGGGCGTGTTTTATAGCGTTCACACTTTATGGCACTTTGTAGCCCAAGGTCTGAGTGAGCTGGTGGGACCAGACCTTCAAGATGGTTTGAGCACTGGGAGTGGGAAGACCGACTTCAGAGCTCTCCAGGTCTTTTTTCTACCCAGGAAGGAAGAAGTCACACAACTGATGAGTCTTCAGCCTCTCAATCCATCCCTAAGTGTCTCTGAACTCACATCACCATCTGAGGGCTGGGTGCCTGTAGAAAGCTAGCTGACCTTTTGACAACTCCAGCAGAGACTCTTTGTGCTAGTGGAGCGGTGGGACACTGGTGCTGTTAGGCTTGGAAAGACAACAAAATTAAGAGTGGGTACATCTAGGTTTAGGAGTAACCATACCATCTTCTAAATCAAGGCACTGCCCGTATGAGTAACAAGTTTGCTTTTACAATGACCTTGATGTTGGCTAGCACTACCCAAAGGAAAGGCTCCATGGGACAATAGCTGCTACTGACTGTCATATATTCTGACTTTAGACACAGAAGGAGATGATGAAGCAGTGGCTTTGCGAAGGACAGGTTACCATGCCCTCACAAAACACACCAGTACACACAAATACACATATGTACACGTGCACACACACACACAAAGACACAACTACCACATCACAAGCTGCCAAGAGGAACACCTTGCTGTCCAGACCAGTAAGTATCAGCACACACAGTAACACACACAGAGCACAAGGACATTACCATGGGTTTCTGTGGAGTGACTAAACCAAGCAAACTTTCCTTTCTTCTGATCCAGCAAGCTCACCGGAGCGCCTCCTTTCACAGACAAGATGATCAGTGTCAAGAACCAGGAACAAGACATCAATAGAGAACAGGAAGTCAGCCACGGGCAAAAGAAAGAAACAAGGAACTCAGCTTTCACATGAAACATTCATTTTCATCTCAAAAGTTAACAAAAGAAAATCAAAAAGCAATAAACCAAACGTATGAGAAAACGTAAGGAAACAGAACCAAAACCTCAAATCACGTGAGTTAACAACACAAAACAAATAGTAAAACAAATGATCCTGGCCAGCGGAGGCTTTGGTCCACACTGGTACATCTAACCAGTGACCATGAGGAAAGGACTTCCTGGGAGGGGCTGTCATTCATCCCTGCTGCCTCCTGAGGGAGGTTCCAGCGGGGTAGCTTCAGAAATCCACCTGTGGCATTGGCATCTGTCCGCAACCCTACCCACCAGCCAGGTGATGTGTCCTCTCCTTTACCCGGGGTCATGTTGCAAAACTACACCATGGAGGATGCCAGGGCTCCCTCACCATTTACAACTGGACGGTGTCACTTGTAAATGGCAAAAGTAATCCACTGGTCGAGCGTTCCTCCATCCAGCTCTGCCATTCAATTTCATTTGGTAAAGACCCATCAGATGCCTCAGCTCTGATCCCACCCAAAGCGCAATGTAGCCAGTTTGCTTTTTCTTTTTGCAGATGTTTATTATCCTTTGAGCCATGTGTACTCAATTTATAAACTTTTGGAATGCATAGTTTGCGTCACACTTTTTTCTTTTTACAGAGATAAACTGTTAGTACCTACTTTTAATTAATGTAAGTATCCAGGGCAGAGGTTAAGTTGCCTGTCACTGGGTACTCTTTTGAGGAAGCTAATGAATATGAGAAAAGAATTCAGCATGCTGCTGTTGGGTTTGGGCTGTACTGGGAACACAGGAGAGTGTAAAGGCACTGTTCTCAAGAGGAGATGGGATTCTGTGTTGTGAGTGGGCCTGGAGCTCTGGATGCCCAAAGCCTCAGCTAACTCCTCAGTGTGATGTTCTCACATCCTGTCACTCCATCTGATAAGACCAGCACTAATGGCCCCTCTTCGAGAGCGCAGTGGAGGGTGCTAGAGGAAATGGGTGATGCTGTGGCATGACCACACTCATGACAAGGAGCAGCACTGCATGCAGGTGGGAAATCAGCTACCAATCTCGTCCTGTTGGGGGACAGGCAAGTGGCCCCACTAGTTCCAGGAAAGGGTATGAAGGGGAGGTCAAATGTGTATCAGGGCTTTCTTTCTCCTGGAACTCAGGTTATGGCCAACCAACTTGCTGGAAAGCACTCAGTGGGAATTCTAAAGAGTGGCACATATTTAGAAGGGGCCAGACTTATTTTTGATCTACATAAAGCGCCATGTCTTGAACACATTCATTTTTAAAACACAGAGTGTGGAATAAATAGCAACTTCACAATCAGTATAGTAGCACTGAAAAAATTCTTAAAAATCCTACTTGAAAGTTGTTCTGAGAGTTGGAACCTGAGTGGCTCAGCTAAAGTTTCCACTCTTAGAGAGAGGCATGCTCCAATTTTTTATTTTAAAGAAAAAAAATAAAAATAATGATTCAATTGGAACAAGATAATAGGAGATTAACAAGATAATAGGAGATAACAGGAGATTAACAATGCTCAATATATTGCATATTGTACTCTTCAAAGTAGGGGCTCAGATTACAAGATATAGGCATTAAAAACTGATCAAACAATATAAGCCCCAACTGTTTATGTCTCAATTTAGACTGATGACAGCCCTGAAGTGAGCATCTCAAATGAAGCACATTCTACCTGGACATGTGAAAGAGTACAGGTTAGGCAGCCAGGGCCCAGGCATTTGTCCATGTGGTTTGTGGGAGGGACGGTGCTGTGACCAACAGACCAGAGACCACTATGCAGAAGCACAGTCCAGTGTGGCTGTAACATCAAGTGTCTCATGTTGCTCAATTTCAAAAACAACTGGATGAGAACTTGTAAACAATGGGAAGAATTTGAATAAAATACACAATCACTGAATACATCACTGAGTTTGACTAGGGTAGTCTTTCATGTGGCAAAGTGGCAGTCACTTGTGTGCCAAGTGATTGAGGAACCTCTCACTCATCTCTCTATGGACTGCAGTGGCCTCCAAACATGGGCACTCTGGGTCAAGCCACCCATCTAAAGGTTCCTGCCTGGAATGAACATGGCTCATCTGGAAAGAGCAACGTGGTCACAATGTGTCTTCTTGCCTGCTTTTTGCACTTGGAGGAATAAAGTGGGTGAAGTCTGCACTCCCATTATGAGAAATTGAACAGTGTCACAGCTGATTCTTTAAGGTAAACTTCCAGCAAATGGCATTCTCAGATCGTTGAAGTCTAGATTCCTAATGCTGGGGACTGATTCTATGGATGTGATGAAAGCAGGCGCTTAAACTGCTGAGCTGAATCCCCAGTCCGAGATGAAAAGTTTGATCCTCCCTTTGGGTGCTTAAATGATGAACAGGTTGAAAACTAAGGCAGAAAGATGGCAAAGGACCTAGGGAACTGGGTACAGTTTCCCTGCAGCTGAGCCACTGCAATGTCCTTGGAGGTGCAGCTCGACAGCTCGTCCCAGACATTGGGAGAGCACC